GTGAGAGATGAGGATAGCTGGAAGTAGAGAGAAAAGGGGAAAACTGGATGAGGTTGAGAGGCAACTTGGAGATGAAACCTGTAGTATGTGGTGATAGGAAGAGAGACTATTTAAGTCTCAAAACTAGATACACTAAAAGAGGAACAACCAGCCATTTTAAGTCTCATGGTGTAATGCAGTGGGTGGCACAGGGCCACCTACAAAGTTTTCGTGTCTTAAAAAAAAATGTAACTTAATTTGATCACCTCTTTAGACCTAACTGCCAGTCTATAAGAAGTATGCAGGATAGATGAACGTGTTAAATGGCACTATAAGGAAGACATGAACCAAATCAGAGTGTGGGACATGACAGGGAACAAATAGCATGATGTTGCTAACAAACCAATGCCATGAAACAGAATTTTTAAAAAGTCTTTGGAAATAGAACAAGGCAATGTTTTTGAGCAGTGTGTAGACCGTATTTGGATCCTGATTCAAAGAGACTAAAAGATATCTCTGAGAGAAATAGAGAAATTTGCGTACCAACTGGGCTTTAGCTAATAGGAATTGCTGTTCATCATGTCAGGTACACTAATGGCATGGTGGTTTTAAATGTGGCAGTGCATACATACATACATACATACATATAAGGTCATGTTAGAAACACACACGAACTTTTTGAAATCATACATCTTGAATTTGCTCAAAGCATTCCAGACAAGCAAGCATGGCATGTGATAAATTGAACTGGAAAAACGTTGCTAGTTATGGAAGCTGGGTCACAGATTCTTGGAGGTTTATTATACTATTCTATCTTGGGGTATATTTAAAATGTTTTCATAATAAAAAAGTCAAACAAAAACTTTATGAAAAGTGGAGTTCCCAATGAAATAGAGAACGTAAGAAAAGAAACCAGTCTGACAGAGAAGTGAGGAGTTCAGTTTGGACGTGTTGAGGTCGATGTGCCTTTGGGATGCTAAATGGAGGGGACCTGTGTGTGGTTGGTCTGGAGTTCTGGAGACCTCTGCTCTGGAACTGTGAGAGTGAGTATAGATGGTGACTGAAGCCATGGGCTTCCTGAAGAAGGATGTGTGTGAAGTGGAGGACAGAGGGTGGTACCTTGAAGAAAGAGTGCAGAGAAATAAGAGGGTTGGTTTGTTTGTTTATAATTTACATCCAAGTTAGTTAGCATATAGTGCAACAACGATTTCAGGAGTAGATTTCTTAATGCCTCTTACCCACTTAGCCCATTCCCCTTCCCACAACCCCTCCAGCAACCCTCAGTTTGTTCTCCATATTTATGAGTCTCTTTTTGTTTTGTCCCCCTCCCTGTTTTTATATTATTTTTGTTTCCCTTCCCTTATGTTCATCTGTTGTGTCTCTTAAAGTCCTCATATGAGTGAAGTCATATGATTTTTGTCTTTCTCTGACTGACTAATTTCACTTAGCATAATACCCTCCAGTTCCATCCACATAGTTGCAAATGGCAAGATTTCATTCTTTTTGATTGCCGAGTAATACTGCAGTGTATATATATACCACTTCTTCTTTATCCATTCATCCATCGATGGACATTTGGGCTCTTTCCATACTTTGGCTCTTGTTGATAGTGCTGCTATAAACATGGGGGTGCATGTGTCCCTTTGAAACAGCACTCCTGTATCCCTTGGATAAATGCCTAGTAGTGCAATTGCTGGGTCATAGGGTAGTTCTATTTTTAGTTTTTTGAGGAACCTCCATGCTGTTTTCCAGAGTGGCTGCACCAGCTTGCATTCCCACCAACGATGCAAAAGAGATCCTCTTTCTCCTCATCCTCGTCAACATCTGTTGTTGCCTGAGTTGTTAA